CTCTCCCCTCGGTGGGCCTCTCCAGCTCCCTCACACCTCCCCGCTGCCCCTCCACGCCCACCTGTCTCAGAGGAGATGTTGACTTCAACGCTCAGGTCGGGTACAGGTGCTCCTGGGAAGGAAGCCACACACAGGTAGGTGCCATAGTCGCTGAAGTGCAGGTCAATGAGCTCGAGGCTGCTTGTGACCGCAGGCAGCTCAGGGTCGTTCCGGGTCACCAGCAGCCGCTTGGACATGCGTGCCGGCTTCCCGTTCTTGAACCACTGATAGGCCACCTTCTCCTGGGGCACCGCGTCCACGTGGCACGAGAGCTTCAGGTCCTGGCCCAGCTGTATGTTCTCACTCTCTTTGATCACGTCTGGGGTGATCTGGAATGTGGCGTTCTTCATGGCTGCAGGTGGGTGGGGAGGGCAGGTTGGCTGGGGCTGGCCCAAAGCCAGGGTCATGTCCCACCCCTGCCCAGACCCAGCTCCTCCCCTCATAGTGGCCCTCCTGCAGGCTGGGAGCTACACCCTCCCACCACCGCCACCGCCACCAGAAACCATCCTTTTGCTTGGAAATTGTTCTGCTTGTTCAGATGTGTTTTTAAGAGTTTAAAAAAGCTCGCTGCAGAGAAGTGGGTTTAGTGATCATTAGAGTCACTGTTACTGAACACACACTTGGTGAGAGGCATTGTTCCACACACTTTACACAGGTTGAACTCATTTAACTCATCCCACGGTCTGTGAGGGAGGCACTTCATCATCCCTGTTTTACAAGGAGCGAACCGACGCTCAGATAGTTTAATTCTGAGCCTGTGCTCATAACCACTACGCTACTTTATTTGTATTCTTGTTTTAAACCTTGAATGGACAAAATACAAATTCTGTAAGGATGCAACAGAATGTAATAGTGGTTCTATCTAGACAGTGGGACTGAGGGAAACTGAGGGGAAATTTTAATCTGTACGTTTCACTCTTTGGTGCTATTTAACTCTTTCCAGCAAATTATTGTGATTGTTATAGTAAGAGCCCAATACAATAATTTTACATGCAATTACATGAAAGCTCAGAGTTTATAAAGTAAAGGGCCTGGCCTCTTTTAAAATCTAAATATTGCTTAATGTGATGCAAGAGTTAGACATGACTCTTAATAGTGGATGCTAATTGGACAGGACACTGATACCACAGCCACTGGTATCCTTTGCTGAGTTGGGCAAAGCAAGCTGTATGTCCCCAAGGAAGTGACCAGAAGAGCCTGGCCAGGAAGTCATTGTTTGATTCTCACTCAGAGAATACACCTGGGTTGTGGGCTCGATAACCAGTGTGGGGCGTGCAGGAGGTAGCCGATCAATGATTCTCTCTCATCATTGATGTTTCTCTCTCTCTCCCCCTCTCCCTTCCTCTCTGAAATCAATACAAATATATTTTTTTAAAAAGAAGTGACCGTAAGTATTGGATGTAAATTGAGACCTCATCAACTCAGGTTTTAAAGGCCAAATGAAAACAGGTGGAGAATCTTCTGATGGGAAAAGTACCATCAAAGCAGAAAACAGCCATCAGATAGTCACAGTCTTGCTGTTTTCTTTCTTGCTCTGATTAAGTAAAAAGTAACAGAGGGTTAACTTCTTCTTATGAGGAGAGTCCGAGAGTGGTCGGTGAAAGATCAACAACAAAAAGTGTTTGTTTCTTCAGAAGACTCTGAGTCAAATTTGGCAGAAGCTATATTTTACTTTTAAGTGCTAAAGAGCTGGTAACAGCTGTGTCTTTTTAAAAAACGTAAAATAAACAAACAAATAGCCTAAAGCTACACAAGAAGAATTTAAAGTTTTCCCCTTGAAGCAGAGTAGCAAAATCAAGATCATATCAAGCAGCTAATGCTAACTACTGAGGCTGAGGGTTAGTAAGGAACATGTTTGTACTTCTTTAGATCATACTCCAAGTTTTGTATCATTTTTACATTTAATAAGTATCTTCAGACTCACTGAAATGCTTTGCTAGCAAATATTTACACATGAGGTATGTGGAAATGTGTTATTTTCACTTTAACTCAGTGAATCACGTGGAAACCAGTGTACAAAAAGAAAACCAGGGAATTTCTCCTAAAGACTGGAAGTCCATACTTAGCTTTTTGCAACCTGTTTCCCAATCTTAAAAAAAAAATGTAGGTAATCAATACCAGTCCTCCCTACCTCTTGGATTGTTGAGTTTATATTTGGAAATGTAGGATTGTAAATTGTAAAATAAAACTTTACAACAAATTTAATCCTGCCATCTGCAGGGAAATAAAAGTGCCTGGAACATGCCTTCTCAGCATATATCACCTACCAAGAGGAAGCAGACAGGCCCCTCCTCCACTTCATCGGTCGTTTCTGGAGGACAGGGACCCTGTCTGCCTCTGAGTCCCCCCCCACACACACCCCTCCGGAGCCACGTACATCGCACCAGCAGGTTGACGGTCTTCTTGGCGGGGTTGCCCACATTGTTGGTGGCTGTGCAGTTGTAGTAGCCAGAGTCCAGGGCCTGCACTGAAGGGATGCTGAGGATGCCACCCTGGGCCAGAGCCCCCAAGGGCAGCGGGCCCGGCCCATGGGACCACTGCAGCTGGGGTAGGGGATCGCCGCCTGTCAGCAGACACTGGACCGTCACATTCTCCCCAGGGTTCACCACCAGCGTTTCATTCACAGACAGCTTCAGGGCTGGTGGTGCTGAGAGGACAAGGAGGTGGGGTCTTAGTGGGGTGGGAGGCAGGGCTGAATGTGGGGATATAGGAGCTAGGAAAACCATGGGGTTGGGGAAGGATGGGGAGAAGAAAGAAAGGGGAGAAGGCAGGGAGCAGGCAGAGGGGAGCAGGGATGCACTGGTGGTGATGTGCCTAGAGTCCTGTATGGGGGGGGCACTGTCTCCTGGGTGGGCAGTCAGCTCAGGTGGGCAAGGATATGGGTGGGGGAGTGCCTGTACCCGTGGTGTTGGTGAGCCGGAAAGTGATGGCCTTGTCCGGGATGCCACACACGTTGCGTACAGACACCTGGCAGGTGTAGCTGGCGTAATCCTGGGGCCGAAGGTTCTTCAGCTTCAGGACCTTGGTCTCCCCCTGGGCAGCAGTGGACCACTGGTGTGAGGGGTCTGCTCGGGCCTCCAGGGGTCCCTCACACATTGTCCAGCACCAGGGGCCGAAGTAAATGCCTATCTTCCCCCATCTCCACACCATTTATCCCCAGGGAGCCTGAGTCTGGGGGGATGCTGCCCTCCCCAAACCTTGGGTTTCTCTGGGGCTGAGACTGCCCTGGCCAGGAACCGGCCTCAGTTTCTCCACTTTGGAAGATGGAGGGGTAGGGAGGGAACCCTGCTCTCACGAATACGGAGCTAATCCCATAGGCCAAGGCCACATGTGGCACTCTGGCAGCCACCTCTGAAAGCCGCCTTTGAAAGCCCTCCCTGGTAGGAATGCTTCATCACCATTTCTTGGGACCCTAGGGGGCCTATGGGAAGTGGAGTCATCTCTCTGCCCCCAACTCCTGCTGCGTCTGCCCAGGGGGTCCCAATACTCCCACAGCCAGCAACGGGCGGGGTGACTCGCCTCCCTCTAGGGCAGCGGTTCTCAACCTTCCTCATGCCGCGACCCTTTAACACATTTCGTACCGCTCAGGAGTTTTCTCTTGTTTCACGCGCCATCTGTTAAGGACCGCTCACAAGTGTTCTCGTTTTTCATGCCCATGGAAAAAGGAGCGAATCTAGATACTTATGTAAATTTTGTTTGGTCCCTCTTCATAGAGGAAAATGTTTTACGCAGTACCATACGTTAAAAAAGTACTAGGAACTTTAGTTGTTTAATTGTTTTTGTAAATAAAAATGTTATAATTATTGAAAAACAACACCTAAAGTGCATGATGGCCCTAACCGGTTTGGCTCAGTGGATAGAGCGTCGGCCTGCGGACTCAAAGGTCCCAGGTTCGATTCCAGTCAAGGGCATGTACTTTGGTTGCAGGCACATCCCCAGTAGGGGGTGTGCAGGAGGCAGCTGATCAATGTTTCTCTCTCATCGATGTTTCTAACGCTCTATCCCTCTCCCTTCCTCTCTGTAAAAAATCAAGAAAATATATTAAAAAATAATAATAAAGTGCATTATGATGATTTAATACAGTTCCTCATGTTGTAGTGACCCCCAATTTCATTGTTACAAATTGAACATAATTAAAGCATAGTGATTAATCACAGAAACAACATGTAATTATATATGTGTTTCCCGATGGTCTTAGGTGACTCCTGTGAAAGGGTCGTTAGACCCCCCAAAGGGGTCGTGACCCACAGGTTGAGAACCGCTGCTCTAGGGGGTGTCTTTCCTAACTGGCAATGTTCCAGAAGGACTTGTTGCCCTGAGGACGCTCCTGTCCCCATCACTGTTCCCTGAGTCTCATCTGCCCCAGTGTCTGATGTCAGATCATGCTGCTTCAGCCAGGGCAGTCCCAAGACCTGCAGACGGCAAGGCCTTAGCCCCCGTGTCCCCTCCCTGGTTGGTGCAGGAGGAAGTGCAGGGTGAGCCACGAGGAGACCGGGCCAGCTACTGCCCATCCTGACCTGGGTGTAGAGGGGCTCATAGATGTCCACGCCGTTGTCCTGGCTGTGGGACAGGGTGTCGGAGCCGCGCTTCCAGATGAAGCGGGCCGGCGGGTTGGAGTTGACGGTGCAGCGCAGGAACACGGTCTTCTCCTGGTAGAAGTTGCCCCGGACGTCGCTCACTGTCTGGTGCACCGTCAGCACCGGCTCGTCCAGGTCTGCAAGGGCACAGCCCCAGGGGAGTCAGGACTGGGTGAGCCCTAGGTGGGGGGCTTGGGCTCCTGACAGCCCTCGGGGAAAGCTGAGCCACCCTCACGGGTGCTTCCAGATGCGCTCCCAGCCCTGCAAGCTTGACCAACCTTGAGGATCAGGGGGCTGGACCTGATGACTCCCCAGCTGTCCCTCCCTCCCCAGGGACCGGCACGGGGGTTGTCTATCTTCACCCTCCCAGCATGGGATGGAGGAAGCAGATGCAGCCTGGAAGTGAGGAAACCTGGTTCAAATCCCAGGCTAGCTATTAATTTGTAGTGAGACCTGCCTAAGCCCCTCCCTGCCAGTTTCCTCAGGAGTAAATTGGACCAGATTGGCGGTTCTTGCCCCTGTTTGCACAATAGAACCACATGGAGATTTCCTTTTTAATACCGATGCCTGGAAGAGCTCATTAACGGTGTCAGAAATCAGAAGAGTGATTGCTTCTAAGAAGATTACTGACAGCAGGGGGTATGAGGGAACTTTCTAGGTCCTGGAGGTTCTCTTGAACTGGTGGTGTTTGCACAGGCACATACACATGTAAGAATTCATTAAGTTGTACATTTGTGACTAGTGCACTCTATCGCATGTAGGTTAATCCTCAATTAAGAAAAAACAAACCCAATGTTGGGGCCCCACCCCCAGTCAATTACATCAGAATCTCTGAAAGCAGGACCCAGACATCAGTATTTTTTAAAAGGATCCCCCCCCCCGACCCCCACCAGGAATTCTAATGTGCAACCAGGATTGTGAACCAAAGGCATCATCACTCCACATGCACACGTCCTTCAGTGGATGTTCCAACAGCCCCACATTCTGCCCTCCTTCCACGGTCCACTGAGATAAAGACCATTACCAAGGCCACGGGCAGAGGTGGGGCAGTGATGAAGTCCAGGGCATGCCTGCCAGCCCCTTCCAACACCAATAACTTGAGAAATGACCCTCAGTCCCAGAGTTTGGCAGGCCCCTGGGTGGCTGATGGGGGACAGAAGGGAGGACCTGGGGTTCCATTGCTCACCACTCTATGGGGCTCCACTGGGGGAGTGTGAGGTGTCTTTAATGGGTAAGTTCATTGTAGACATTAAGATTGTATAAGCCAGGCCCTTGGGCCTGGCCCCACAGGTGCTGGGTACCTGGGTCAGCCTGGATAGGCACAGAGGCGGGTGGCAAGCAGGGAGCTAGCCTCTTGGGATTAAGGGAATATCCATGGGACAGGTAGGGACTGCCTCCCATCCAAGCAGCAAGGACTGACGGGTGCTTGCACCTGCACGTGGTGGGGTAAGGAAGTTTCAGAGCTGCCCTGGGACAAAAACAGGGGCATGAGGTATGGGGGAAGGGCACTGGACCATAATGAAGAGACCCATGCCCCTGAACAAGTCATGAGCCCTTGCTACCTCCATTTCTTCATCTGTGGAATGGGTATAATCCAACCTGTCTTGCCCTCTGGCAGGGATGTTTCGAGATTCATAAGGGATTAGGGACGGGAAAGTGTGAGTGGCATAGGGTAGTACACATCGGAGGAACCGCAGAGATGCAGCAGCGATTTCCCTCTCCAGCATGGACGAGAGGAAATGTCTACTGTCCTCCACAGAGGTGTCGGTTCTCTATGGCACTCCACCCCCACTCCTCCTTCCCAGCCTGAGCCCCAGGGGGTCTCCCGAAGCCAGGATGGACAGGGAGGGGCCAGGACAGCCAGGAAGGGCGCCAACTCACACTGCACGTCCACGCGGATGGACTTGATGGCGGGCACGCCCACGCCGTTCTCGGCTTTGCAGTAGTAGCGTCCGCCCTGCGTGCGCGCGATGCGCTCGATGCGCAGGGTCTCATTGAACACGGATGTCTCCTGGAACTTGTCGGACGCGCTCCCCGCAGTCTTGGTCCACCGCACCTGGGCAGGCAGGGAGGGCAGATTCAGACCCCGCAGTGAGGGTGGGGGGCCTCCAGGCTGAACCCTGCAATGTGTCTCCCCTTCACAAGCTTACGTGGCCTAGGAAACCAACCCAAACAGACTTGTGGGAATGCACAGGCAAGATAGGACATGTCAGCCAAGAGCCTGGGGAATCCGGGGTCGGATGGCTAAGGCGTTAAAGAAGGCAGTATGTGCAGTGCTTGGAGCATGGACTTGTGGGCAAGTTACCCAACCTCTCCTGCCTTCCTTTCCTCATTTGTAAAATGGAGACTATTGCACCCTCCTGGGGTCACTGGGGGTATTAAATTAATGTATACTTAGTGCCTGGAAGGCTTCAGATTTCTCATCTGTGCAAGAGGTTTAGGTGGTAGCCAGTGTCCAAGATGGCCTGGAATGACGCCTGCCTCCTGGTATTCACACCTTTCTGTAGTCCCCTCACACTTAGTACCAGGGATGGTCTGTGTGACCAGTAGAACAGGACAGGAGTGATGATGGTACCTCACTTCCAAGATGGGGTTATAAAAGACTGTGATTCCCATCTTGGTGGCTTTCTCGCTCTGGGGAAAGCCAGCTGTCATGTCATGAGCAACCTTATGGAGAGGCCCACAATGAGGGCGGGAAGCCTCGGGTCAGCACCTGGAAGTGGCCTGGAAGGGGATGTGCCAGCCCCAGTCAGTCCTCAAATGACTGCAGCCAGTGAGAGACCCTGAGCCAGCGCCAGCCAACTCAGCCACTCCACGTGCCTATCCCACAGAAACCGTCAGACAATAGTGTTTGCTGTTTTAAGCCCCTCATTTTGGAGCACTTGTTCTGTAGCAATAGATAACCATAACTATTATGTAGCATAACACCCACTTTGCAGGGTCATTGTGATGTTCAGGAATAAAGTATGTAAAGCAGCTAGGTGTGGGGCCTGGTATATATGAGTCACTCAATAAATGGCTATTATTAACAGTGCCTTAGATGATGGGACACTATCAAGGATCACCCAAGAAACTGGAGCTACTGTTGAAAGTAACAGAGGTTTGAGAAAAATGGACCCATTTCAGATGACTAAGTCCTAAGGATCAGAGGATGCGATAGGGACGTTTCCATCTAAAGTTGAGGAGGACTGCTTGTTACTGAGACAGGGCCAGGGCCCTGAGCCTGGTGACTAGGTCAGGCCACAGGTCATGAAAACAAAAAGCTAGGAGAAGTCGGTGAAAGGACAACCTTCTCACGCAGGGAGGGGCCACCGCAGGCCATAACGTTGCTACTCTCATCCATCCCCACGACACACAACCCTACCCTCATGGGCTTAGAGCTTACAGAACCTGGGGAAGGACGCAGGCCGTTTCAGGCAATCCGCACTTAGTCCACAGGGTGCTTTGGAGCAAGAACAAGGCCATGGAAATATGTTTTCCTTTTGTACTTGGCTTGTGCGGTGTTAGCATGATTGTCTAGATGGCGTTTGTTTCCATGCTGCTTAGGACGTGGTTTGCTTTATCCATCCCCGTCTGTGGTGCAGCTTTACGGCTGCCTATGTCCAATATACATGGGTGCACAGGTTCCAACCAGTTTTTATGTTCGTGTCTCAGCTCAGGGTTTCCTCACCACTTGGATAGTGCAAGACAGCGACAGGCTTAGGGTCACGCTCTCTCCTAGGTGACTGTGTGCACCCACATCCTGAAGCAGGGGGTCCGCTCCCGGCTGTGACTCTGGGCTGTGGACAGAGGCCTCTGGTCTCCAGTGATAGGTGGTGCCACTCGTGTCGAGCTTCCAGCATTAGACAGAGTCCAGCTCCAGCTCCCCAGCCATGGACAGCCCTATGGCCTCAACTCATGTCCCCTCCGTGTGCATGAACCCTGCTACCCCTGAGGCCCATGGCCCTCCACGGACCAGGTTCTTCAGCTTCTGCTCACTACCATCGCTATGGATTCCTCTGTATGTTGGCCCCAGAGGTTCCCTCTCTTGACATTTGGAGTGGAGAATGTCCCGCCCACTCAGTCCCCCACACAGGGGGCCATGAGATGGGGCTGCTCCCCTGTGAGACTAGATGCTCCATGACAACAGGACCGTAGCTATATCCTTGTGCCCCATGACAGGGCTTGGCACATGGCAGGGACTCAATAAATATTGGTTGTAATGAAACGAGTGAAAAAGGGAACTGAAGGCATTTCAGGAGAGGTGAGCCACAGTGGTTAAAGCAGGTATGGGCCATGTGTACTGGGCAAGTTCGATTGGAACACAGGGTGTGAGGAGGATGCCAGTGGGAGCTGAGATAGGAAAGGCAGGAGGGGGCCGGATTGTGGGAGGTCTTCAATTCTACCTCCAGGAACCTGAGCTGAGTCTGGTTGCTAACAGGGAGCCATCAAAGGTTTCGGAGCAGGGCAATGATATGATGCAGCCTGCTGGAGGATGAGGATTGGGGTCAGGGTGCAGGAATGGATTGGAGGGGGAGACTTGGGAGAATGGGAGGCCAGTGAGAGTCTACTGCAGGGGACCAAGGAACAGACTGAAGGTCTGACCTAGAGGAGCAATGAGGAATAGAGAGGAGAAGACCCATGCAACGGCATAAAAAGACAGGCCTCAGAGGCCAACTATCTGTGGGGAATGAGATGGGACAGAGTCAAATAGGAGCCCAGGGGGTTGAGCCCAGGTAGCAGGAAAAACAATGACACCTCGGATGGAAATGGAAAGATGAAGGCTTGTACAGACAGCCACAACCACAGATGACTCAGACACAGGGGACACCCACAGATGGCTAGTGCGCCTTAGGGAGAGATGGCTCAGCTGCCGCCCTGGCATCAGGAGAACCATCCCTAATCGTCACACCTGACACAACACCAGCCTGAAGGCTGGCAGCACCGCTTTCACCTCTAAACAAACTTCAGAGAAGGAGCAAGCAGCAGGCATAGCGTCGGGCCCGAAGTCCTTGGGGGTTTCCCTGGCCATCTGCTCGTCTCAAGGCCCAACCTACTAAAGCCATCCCTGTGCCTAAAATTGTCCTGAAAAAGGACATTTGATTTCACATTTCACTCTCCTTCTAGGATCCAATCGAAACCTCTTCTGCTCCTCTTAAAGGTCACAGCAGCTCACCGGCAAATTGCATCCTCCCTCCAGCCCACCACCTCCTGCCTCCTCCCAGTGGCTCTCGGCGATAACCAGCCTCGGCTTCCTGTCTGAATCATTCTGTTGGTCTGGGACAAGATTCACCTGGCATTTCCAGATTCTCAGCATCTGTTGCTTTCTAATTGCTTTGAGTCTTTCAATCTCCAGAGTGTAGGGCTTGTCTAGCAGAAGCCTCCAAAAGTAGAGATTGTATTAAATGTTGCTGGTAATTCCTGGAGTCCCCATCCAAAGACGGATGCCCTTGGAGGAAGTGTGCCAACCTACAGAGAACACTGGTTCTGGATTCAAATTCTGCGTCCACCTTCACCAGAGCTGTGTGGCCTTAGGAGTTTACCTAACCTCCCTGAACCTCAATCTCCAAATATGAGCCCAGGGATTGAGCCTAAGTAGCAGGGAAAACAATGGTTGTGATGAGCCAACGAGAAAACACTGGAGAAAGCACCTACCTTAGCGCTTGGCACACGGCCTCTAACCGGGGCTAAAGCTGCATCTGAGGATGTGTCCGCTCACAGACATGAGGGATGGAGTGGAACCGAATACCTGACACTCAGTGTTTCCCCTTGGCCATCGATGTTTCCAGGCGAATAAGCCCGCAGCCTCCAGCCCTCCCCACAGAGAGTTCATTTTCCAGCTACTTCCCCAGCCCCATCTCCTGTCTTCCGTGTATTTGCCACTATCGCCCCTAGTCCCCAACCCCTGCTTCGGCTTCTCAAGCTGTGATCCCAGAGTGGGGGTGGGAGGGAGGAGGGGCTGCGCGGGCGGGATGGGGCCTACCTGGGGCCGGGGGTGCCCGGTGACGAGGCACTGCAGCACCAGGGTGTCGCCCTCCCGGATGGTGTAGACGCGCTCGCTAATGTTGTCCTCTTTCACCACACACGCCTGGCCTGCGTGGACGATCTGGGCCTGGGCTGGAGCTGACAGAGCGGGGAGGTTAGACAAGAGGCGAGAAGGGGTCTGAGACTCCCTCCCGAGCATGTCTGAGGGAGGGGTCAGCCCAGACCTTCCCAGGTCATTCGTTGGAGGCCTGGCCCCATGGAGCTCAGAAAGAATCCTCCCAGAGCCCGCAGGCCAGAACCAGAGAGGCAGGGAGCTCAAGGGCACTTCCTCCCCATCCTACGCCCTTGCAGGAGACCTGTGCTCTCCAGTGAGCTGGTGGGGGGATGAGGCGGAGGGGCTTTGTAATTA